TGGGTGCATATATATTTACCAGGGTTATATCTTCTTGTTGTATTGATCCCTTTAGTATTATGAAGTGGCCTTCCTTATCTCTTGTTATGGCCTTCACTTTGAGGTCTATTTTGTCCAATATAAATATTGCTACCCCAGCTTTCTTTTCATTTCCATTTGCCTGAAAGATATTTTCCATCCCTTCACTTTCAGTCTGTGTGAGTCCCTTTTAATGAGATGGTTCTCTTGTAGACAGCAAATGTATAGGTCATGTTTTTTTTATCCATTCAGCCACTCAATGTCTTTTGGTTAGAGCATTTAGTCCATTTACGTTTAAAGTTATTATGGAAAGTACTTGTTTGTAGCCATTTCTTTTTTTGTGTGGATGTTTTCTTTCATAGCTTTTTATTTCTTCTTTTTACACCAGTCCCTTTAGCATTTCTTGCATTGCTGGCTTAGTGCTGATAAACTCCTTTAGGCATTTTTTGTCTGTGAAGCTTCTTATCTCCCCTTCAGTTTTGAATGATAGCCTTGCTGGATAGAGTATTCTTGGATTCGGTCCTTTGCTTTGCATCACTTTGCAAATTTCCGTCCATTCTTTTCTGGCCTGATGTGTTTCTGTTGAGAAATCATTTGATAATCTAATGGGAGATCCCTTGAATGTAACTTTCCTTCTCTCTCTTGCAGCCTTTAAGATTTTCTGTTTTCCTGAACATTTGCCATGGTAATTATGATGTGTCTTGGTGTGGGTCTTTTCAGGTTCACCTTGTTTGGGACTCTCTGTGCTTGTGTGACTTTTTTCTTCCCCACCTCAAGGAAGTTTACTGACATTATTTCTTCAAATAGATTTTCTAATCCTTGTTCATCTTTCTGTTGTTCTGGCACCCCTATTATTCGTATGTTGTTTCGTTTCAAGTTGTCCCAAAGCTCCCTTAGGCTCTCCTCCTGTCTTTTAATTTTTTTCTCCAATTGCAGTATAGTTTGGGTGTGTTTTGCTTCCTTGTCTTCTAATTCACTAATTCGGTCCTCTGCTTCTCCTAGTCTACTGTTGATACTTTCAATGGTGTTTTTTTATTGCAGTTATATCACTCTTCATTTCTTCTTGGTTCTTACATAATTTATTGATTTTTTCATCTGTTTCTTCTTGCTTCTGCATAAGTTGTTGATTTTTTTCCTCTATCTGGTTTATGCACTCTAGGACCCTTATTCTGAATTCTTTTTCTGTCATGTTGCATGCCTCTGTATCACTTAGCTGCTTTTCTGGTGAGTCCTCCTTTTCTTTCCTTTGGGAGTTTCTTTGTCTACCCATGTTTGATCTCACTGACATATCTAGATGTTGAGTCGTTCAGTGGCTGCTCCCTGGGTGGCAGTGGCTCCTTGTGCTGTGGTTGCTCCGTGGGTGGTTGTGGTAGCAGCTGCTCCTCAGTTGGCAGCAGCTCCTCTGGTGGGTGCTGTTCACAGCTGTGATGGCTTTGCTGGCCTGTGGGGGGAGGCTTCACGTACAGCTGCTGTTCCTCAGACTGAGGGTGTGGTGCTCAGGAGGCTGCTGTTGCTTGGATCTGCTGCGTTGATTTAAAGGCACAAAATACAACAGAACAGGGCACCATGTACCAGGCACTGAACACAAATATATTCACAAAATTAATAACTCCAAATAAAGGTGACCCCCCGAATTAAGAGAATTAGGGGATAAGGAAAAGGAAGAGAAAAAGATAAAAGAGAAAAAGGAAAAGAAAAGAAAAGTAGGGGAAAAAGGAGTGCAAAAATGAAATTGGGAAAAAGGAGGGGGAAAAGAAAAAAAAAGAAGGGAAAAAAAAGAGCGAAAAGAGAGAATGAAGTAGAAGAGACTATTTATATGAGGAGAAAACTATGATAGAACCGCCAATAATCCCAACAAATTCCCGCAACAGCTCCCTGGAGATGAATGCAAACTAGAAACAACCAATAATATCAAGAGAGGCAAGGGAAAACAGAAGCACAAAAATAACCTGGGGGTGGGGGTGTGGGGGAGGGGTGTTGTCTGGAGGGAATAACCAGCAGGAAAATAGAAAAAGAAAAAGCAAAACAACCTCACAACCAATCCTAAAACACACACACACACACACACAGACAGACACACTCACACACACACACAAAACACACACAAAAAACAATATTCTCAACAATCAAGCAAATAGCAACAAAACAACAGAAAGGTAAAAGAAGAGAAAAAAATTTTGGATAGTGAAGAAAGATAAGGGATATGTGTATAAGGATTTAGAGCAGTGGATTGGAAATAGGATATATAAATAGGGTGAAATTTTGACAGGAGGTAAACAGAAGGAATAGGGAAAATCTAAAGCAGGAATAGGGTAAGAGAAACAGGACAACAAAAGGGGAAAAGTGAGGGAAAGGGTTTTAGCATAGAGGTAAAATTGAGGTAGGGAAAATTGATGCTAAAGGAACGATGAAAATAGAATGGAGAACACTAATCCCAAAATAAAATAAAGAGAAAATAAAATGGCACTTTAAAAAATGGTAAAATGGTAGCAGTAATAATATTGGTTAAAAATAAAAATGTAGTAATTAAAAGGGTAAAATCAGGTGATGGAAAAAGAAGAAGAAAAAAAATTGGTTTCTTAGTTAAAAGGTGAAAAAAGAAAAAAAAATTTGCAGTAGTGAAGGTCCTTCGGTTCTTCTACTCATCAGTCTGGCTTGCCTTAGTCCTGCCAGGTATTCAGGAGAGTGCTGAATTTCCCTGCGATACACTGTTCCTCCGTGTTGTAAACCGCAGTCCTGATTTTAAAGCAGGCCGTATTTGTGTCCCAGACTGCCGTAATTTGTGTTTAGCTAAGAGTCAGTTTGTGGCTCAGCCTCTGGGTGGCAGTGTTTTTGGGTGGGCCTCTGAGGCTATACGGCTTCTCTATCCAGTAGCAAGGGTTTATTTTCTCTGTTGCACTTAAAACTGGTTTGGGGAGGTCAACTGTCCAGAGCTGGTTCTTTAACCATTACCCTGCTCTGTGTTGTTGCTGGGATTCACCGCTTCTTTTCTTAATAACTAGAGGTCTGGTGCACAAATTTGTGCACCAGTGAGGTCTCTCGGCCTGGCCTGCGGGATCAGGCCGAAACCGGATCTCTGACATCCCCCGAGGGATCCCGGACTGTGAGAGGGCGCAGGCCAGGCTGAAGGACCCCACCATTGCATGATCAGGGCTGGAGAGGGACACAGGAGGTTGGCCAGCCAGGGAGGGACTGTGGGAGAGCTCCAGGGAGTGTCCGGCCTGTCTCGCTCAGTCCTGATCAGCCAGACCCCAGCAGCAAGCTAATCTACCAGTCGGAGTGTCTTCCCTCTGGTGGTCATTGCACATCATAGTGAGCGGTTGAGCGACCTTAGCATATCATTAGCATATTACACTTTGATTGGTTGAACAGACAACTGGACACCTAGCATATTAGGATTTTATTATACAGGATATTTTTTAAAGAGTGGACCACTTCTGCTCAGTTGTTGGCATGTTGGCCCTGGGACTAAAGGATCTTGGGTTTAATTCCGGTCAAGGGCACGGACCTTGGTTGCAGACTCAATCTCCAGCAGGATCTATCAGGGCTCGAGGGGGAAGGCAACCAGTCGATGTTGTTTCTCTTTTTGTGTCTCTCCCCCTCCCTTCCATTATCTCTAAAAAATCAATGAAAAAAATATCCTCCAGTGAGGTTTAACAATACTAAGAAAAAAGTGAGCCACTTCTGAGTGGTATCAATTCTGAGGATCTAATTAGTTTACTTGCAGTAAACACATCAAACACAATCTATATCTTTTAGCAGTCCAAATGTTTCCTGGTATTTCACACTCAGAGCAATCTCAAGCTTAACATCTAGCCTGGAGCAGAGGTAAATGGGTCAGATGTAGAAAGTTGATTTAAATTCGAGTTTAAGGTTCTTCTACAAATCCTGTTTTAAACAAGGTTATTGCTTAACTACAACAGTATGATAATGCAAACATGACATCTACCATGGAAGGAAAATGCAGTGCTTTGAGAACCTGACAAAGCAGTTAAGTACAAGGCCTTGCATTTACTAGTACATTTCTGGGGTACCTGGACCTTTTGGAGGACTGATTTTTCTTATGCACAGGGGCAAATTGAATACGTCCTATGTGGCTTTATTCTACTTTCACTTCTGCAGTAAATGCCTTTTCTATGAAGAGCTCCTGGCTGATGGAGAATCAAAAGTTCTCAGTATGTTGCTGGCATTTCTTAAGAGTATTAGTCGGAGTCCATAGTGACTTCAAAAGCCAGGCTACCTAGGGTGTAGTCAGGCCTTGAGGCAAGGTTCTACATTAATGTTGCTCAGTGCCCATAAAATTGTATCTCTGTTAGATTAGATAATATTAAATCTTAATGGCTGTTAAGCAAATAAATATGTGTAAGAAAATGACAATCCACATAATTATATAACTCTTTTTAACACCATTTACACTCAAGAGTGAATAGATTTTCTTCTGCCTATGCCAGCGCAAACCAGTTGTTCTGGTGCAGTCCATGGGCGAAATTATCCTCTTTACTTTGAAAAGCTAATAAGGAACAAAGGGCACGTAACAGTAACCATCAGAGTGGATATGAGATTTGTTGGTCTTATATCTCTGCTGGTAACAATCTTACTTTGGTCTCAGGCTCCAGGTAGAAAATGAGAAGTCTCTGGGGTAAGCGGTAAGGGGTGAGGGGTGGGTGAGGGAGGGTGGCGAGGGGTGTTAGGAGGAGTGGGGACGGGCAGGAGAAATGAGGTGACCAACGCTGGTAGGCTCCCCGCACCGCGGTCCCAGAGAGGGGCTTGGTCTCGGACAGAGACAAGCCTGCGGTTTCGCAGGAAGACACAGAAGACAGCCGGGTCAGGGGCCATAGGGCTCTGGCTGCCAGGCGCCGGCCACAAATTTCCGCGCAAGGGACCGCGTGGTGGGCCGCGCTCCCGCTTGGCGCGGGCTCTCAAAGCTGCCCGGGCGCGTGGCAGCAGCGGGCGGCGGGGGTGGGACCGCGAGCAGGACCGCTGGCAGCTGTCCAGGTCGGCGCACTAATATGGGCGCTGAGGCTTCGCGGCTCCAGCCTGACTGACGCCGGCTAGGGCCGGGGCTGGGGCCGCTGCCACCGCTGCAGCCGCAGATTTGGTCACCACCTCCAGCGTCAGGGACAGCAGCCACGGGGCGTGCGCAGCCAGGCCGTGAGTGCTCGGGTGCTCGGAGCGGGCGGCCCGGGACCCACCGCGGGGGTGGGGAAACAGCCAGACTTGGGGTGGGGAGAGGAATGAGTGTCGACGTGGGGACAGGTAACAAGTGTGCTCCGCGGCGCGCGCCGGGTGAGTGCGTGCGAGTGTGGGTATGTTTGTCTAGCATAAGGGGAGCCTTGAGGCTGTTGGTGTATGGCTTGGTTCTTTGTACTCTCCATAACGGTAGTTCTTGGCGGAGCCTGTTTGGGGTGGGCTGGGGGATGAGGTCGAGGAGCCGGAGGGGGCAGCTCCTGGGAGTTGACCGAGCGCTCTTCTCTCTTCTGGAGGCCGCAGCCGCCCAGCTGCTAGCACCTGGGACCTGTCAGAGGATGCTTCTCTCTAGGCTGTGGCCCAGGGCGTGGGCCGGAATGCAGGCATGCTCTCCGCCCCTGAGGCTGGCACCGCGCGGGGGCGGAGCCCCAGGACCTAGACTGGGAGCTGAGTAACCGTTTGCTGTGGCTGGAGGGTGTGTGTGTAGTTGGTGGGACAGTGGAGAGATGGAGGTGTGACTCAGCTGGCCTCCCTGATCTGTCTCCTAGGTTTTTTGCTCTGCTTACCTTTGAGGCTCGAGAAGCGTGGCGCGGGAAAGTTAGGACCGTTCTTCAAGTGTCTCTGGGCTAGCGCTTAGATTGTGTTGAGAGCTGGGATGTTTATCTTTTCCTTCGCCTGCCAAGTCGGAAACAGATACCAGAGACTAAGTGACGGCAGAATTGTGATGGGAAGGAAGAGCGCGCGCAGGCTGGGGGGGGGGGGGGGGGTGAGGCGGCGGGGGGGGGGGCGGGGGGGGGCGGGGGGTGAAGACATTGTTATGGAGCTGACAAGTCTTCCAGTTACTATTCCTTCCTCCTCCCACCCTCTACAGTGGTAATTTGAAATGATAGTTTAGAAATACTCTGTTGACATGTTTCTGGGCTAGAACTGGTACTCCTAAAAAAATAACCTACAAATGATGTAAATCTAGTTTGGAATAAACTTGCATGTAAATTCTTTACCTAGTAATTCACAGATTCACACCCTCAGAGCAACGTGGATTGCTTTTAATTAGTTCAATTTTACAAACACTGTTTCAGTGCCCTGCCTAATTTATCCAGTGATCTTTTGGAAATGTGGGTTAGCAAGAATAATAGAGGATAACTGTAAAGTCATAAGGCATTTAATACTACTATCTCCTTGACCTTAAGCATTTGGGGCGTCCTTCTGGGTGAGTGAAATGTTAATACTACAGGTTTCTGCCTCAGGATTCCTGTCGTTGTAAGGGAATGCCATTGGATGTTTACATTTTAAAATAGTGATCTATATTTAAACAGGAAGTAAAAGTAAAACCCAAACACATTCTCTTAACTCCAGATAGACAATTCAACATGTGAGCTTCCCTGTGCTTGTAGAAAACCATGAACAAGATTTTGGACCACTTTCAAGTTTGTGGTTATCCAAGAAGGACACTGCAGATATGGAAATGATGTAATAGTTTATAAATAAGAAGCATTTTACACATAATATGACATAAGTTTCAAATAATAAAAACAACTTTTAGTGATAATAATTGCCTTCTTCCATGCCAATTCAACTAGACACAGCCAATTCCCATTTTTATGCTTAACTGGCTATCTTTGTGAGAAATGTTTTGTGCTTCAGCTCCCTGGTTTTGTAACCCGACAAGCAAGGGGTCCGGGCTGCCTGTCACCACTTGAGCCAATTAAGCAGAGACAGGGTTGAATCATATATGAGAATTTATTCCAATAATGCGGGCAGTATGGGAGAGAGCATGTTATCCACAAAATTCTGCTCTGACCTCCCTTGCCAGTTGGCTGGTTATATACACAAGAGGGAGAAGATAGTTACATACACCTGGGAGTTACAAATGTAACATGGAAAAGGGAGGGTAGAGTCTGCAGTCCAGCCTTCAGGAGCTCAAAGTCTGATAACCAGGTGGCTAATGTTCTATGATGTTACAAACAGCTCAGCCTGTTTCTGGGACTAGAGAATGGTCAGCATTCCAGGGAAAAACTCCCAGAGGGGATCAGGGTCCAGGTGCAGCAACCAAATCAAAGCATGTCCTGTCCTTGGTCTGTTCTCAAAATGTTATTTATTTTCTGAGTAATGGACCCATGGAGGTGTCTTATTTTTTACAGGCCTGTTTCATCCTCCAGTTTCCCAGGGTGTGTAAGAAAACTTCTTATCTATAGTTAGTAAGATGAATAATTATTAGACAACTATGGCTCTATTCTTATTACATGACCTTCCCCACGTTCAGTTTCAGGTTGTGTTTAAGAGAGTGCCAATATATTCTCGATCTGAGCAAACTCATTTTTTATCAGCACAGTGCTTTCTAAAAATCAAGGATAAAAACAAGTTTTAGGTTAAACCCTAAGTATTTTACAATTTTCACACCTTTGTCATCAATATTTTAAAGTTGGCATGAGCTATTTGACTCTTCTTAAAATCTTTTTCTTTTATTTTTATATCTCCAGTTAATGAGTAATCAGATATTATTCATAGATGTCAACTATGCATCTCTAATTGCCCAAGACAAGGAATGGCAAAGAAGAGATTTGCTTTTTAATGGAACATTACCAAGAATATCTATAAGTAATAACTGGTAAACTTGTTTATCCTTTCTAATTGTGCAATCAGTTGGAGAAAAACGTCTGTCAAGAAATTATTTTATAAATATTATCTTTATATACTTATGTGTTGCTATATAAGTTTACAAGAGTTGTATCCCCTTATTGGATTGATCCATTTATTTATGTGTAGTGATCTCTTTGTGTCTTTTATGGCCTTTGTTTTAAAGTCTATTTTGTCGCATGTATGTATTGCTTACCCCAATTTTTTTTTCCTTTTCTATTTGCATGGAATATTTTTTCCATCCCCCCAATTTCAGTCTGTGTGTAACTTTTGAACTGATGTGGGTCTCTTTTAAACAGCATAAATATGTGTCATGTTTGTTTTTTTAAATCTATTCAGCTATCTTATGTCTTTTGAATGGAGCATTTAACCCATTTATATGTAAGGTTACTATTGATCAGTACTTATTTATTGCCATTTTATTCTTTATAGCTATGTTCCTCTCTTTATATATTTCTTCTTCTTTTAAAAGTAGGCCCTTTAACATTTTTTGTAATACTGGTTATGCCATAATGAACCTGTTTAGCCTTTTTTTTTTTTTTTTGCGGGGGGGCAGGGGCAATTTTAAATGATAATCTTGCTGGATAGAGTAGACTTTGTGGCAGTTCCTTGCTTTTCATCACTTTGAATATTTCATGCTAATCTGTTCTGCTAAGGTGTTTCTGTTGAGAAATCAGCTGACAGCATTATGGGGACTCCCTTATATATAACTAACTGTCTCCCTCTCTCTAGCCATTTTAATTATGAGGTGTCTTGTGCTGGGGTCTTTCCACATCTACTAGGGTTCAAGGAATCTGGAAAAGGGGCTGTGCATAAATGAATGAAGAAGCTAGAGAAGAAATATGAATTTGGAAGGCATTTTGGGGAAAGCCAGATGGAAACTTAATTCTAGTGACTAAGCTCCCCAAATCTCCAGACCCCTAGCTTTTTATTAACACACTAGAGGCCCAGTGCACAAAAATTTGTGCACGGCGGGGGGGGGGGGGGGGCGTGTCCCTCAGCCTGGCCTGTGCCCTCTCACTGTCTGGGACCCCTCGGGGGATGACCACCTGCTGGTTTGGGCCCACTCCCTGGGGGATTGGGCCTAAGCTGGCAATCAGACATCCCTCTGGCAGCCTGGGAGCCCTTGGGGGATGTCCATTTGCCAGCGGGAAACAGGCCTAAGCTGCAGTCAGACATCCTTAGTGCTGGTGAGGAGGTGGGAGAGGCTCCCACCACCACCGCTGTACTGGCAGCCATCAGTCTGGCTTGTGGCTGAGCAGAGCTCCTCCTGTGGGAGCGCACTGACCACCAGGGGGCAGCTCCTGCATTGAGTGTCTGCCCCCTGGTGGTCAGTGTGTGTCATAGTGACCAGTCATTCCCAGTCTTTCTGCTGTTAGGGTCAGTTTGCATATTACCCTTTACTATATAGGATAGCGGCCTGGTGCATGGGTGGGGGCTGGCTGGTTTGCCCTGAATGGTGTCCCAGATCAGGGTGGGGGTCCCGCTGGGGTGCCTGGTCAGCCTGGGTGAGTGGCTGATGGCTGTTTGCAGCTGGTCACACCCCCTTCAGGTTGGGGGTCCCCACTGGGGTGCCTGGCCAGCCTGGATGAGGGGCTGATGGCTGTTTTCAGGCTGGCCACACCACCTTTAGGGTGGGGGTGGGGGTCCCCACTGGGGTGCCTGGCCAGTCTGGATGAAGGGCTGGGCTGTTTTCAGGCTGGCCAAGCCTCCCCAGCGACAGAAGCTCATAGCCTCTCCTTTTTTTCTTTTTTTTTTTCTGGGGTTTATTTACCTTCTATAATTGAAACATTGTTTCCTGAGAGGAGCTTAGAGCCGGTCACGGCGGGTGGGAGGGAAAGCCTCCTGCACTCCAGCTCCATGGCCACGGCCAGCTGAAAGCAGGTATCTGAGGTTTGTTTAACTTCTATAATTGAAACATTGTTGCTTTTGGAGCTGTTGCTTTCGGAGCTCAGAGCTGGCCACAGCAGGTGGGGAACTTTGGCTTCCTCCATCACTGGAGCAAGCAAGCCTCCTGCTTGTTCTAGCTCCGTGGCTGCCGGCCACCATCTTAGTTGGGTTAATTTGCATATCTCGCTGATTAGCCAATGGGAAGCATAGCAGAGGTATGGCCAATTACCATGTTTGTCTATTATTAGGTAAGATTTTTCCCTATAGCAAAGCAGATATACATATCAAAGGTAAGGTTTGGTAAACAGTAAAGGATTATCAGGTTGGGGGAACTGCCCTCAGCTGTCTGGCAGCAGGCAATAACATGCAGATCTTCAGCCCTGCTGAAGCCACAAGGTTTATCAACCTTTTGATGAACTTCTTGCATAATTATGACC